TCCAGTTAATCAGCAACTAGGGGATCCTATAACACTAGAAGAAATCCTTGTTACTTTTAAAGCAAGTGGCAATGCTGTTCCCGGCCAAGACGGTATCACTATATGTCTACTTAAAGCTATACCAATCAGGGTGTTTGCAAAGTTGTTTAATCTGTGGTTGGTAAACGAATCCCTGCCACAACCTCTTCGCAAGAATAAGAGCTATTAGCTAAGAAACCTAACCCAGACTCTCCTTCCTATTATCACCCCAAAACCATGTCATCTACAATAGTGAGGCTGTTTCATAAGATTCTGAGCAGCAGACTCTCCGAGGCAGTCAGGATCGACAGGCGGCAGAAGGCCTTCATCCCTGTGGACGGAAGCCCTGAAAACCTGGTGATCCTGGATGCCCTCCTTGCTGAGGCTCGTGCGCTCAAGCACAACACGCACCTGGCGTTTCTGGATATGGAGAAGGCTTTTGATAGCATCTCCCATCCGGCCATCCATTGGGCCATGAAACATAAAGGCTTTCCGAAGCCATTAAGGACATACATAATGTCGGGCTATGATCAACCGTAATAACCAGCCAAGGGGAGAAGTCAAAGGACATCCTGATCACTAGGGGGGTGAAACAGGGTGATCCCCTGTCTCCATTTCTCTTTAACCTTAGGGAGCCGGTCGGCCGAGCAGACAGCACATTGAACTTGTGATCCTGTGGTCCCAGGTTAGATCCTGGGCGCCGGCAAGAAACAATGGGCAAAGTTTCTTTAACCCTATGCCCTGTTACCTAGCAGTAAAATAGGTACCTGGATGTTAGTCAGCTGTCATGGGCTGCTTCCTGGTGGTGGAGGCCTGGTCGAGGACCGGGCCGCGGGGACACTAAAGCCCTGAAATCATCTCAAGATAACCACAAGATAAGCTAGTAATTGATGAGGCAATTACTAGGGCTAAGGACTTGGGACTAGGGGATGGACTGGGGGGCAAAAAGGTATCAGCACTGGCATTCGCTGACGATCTGGTTGTGGCAGCAGAGACGGCTGCCGGACTACAGACACTTAAAACAAGTATTTGCCACACACTGGGTGGCTTTGGTCTTAAAGTAAATGCTGTGAAATGCCGTACGCTAAGCATAGCGATCGATGCACATCGTAAGATGTGGCATGTTCCCACCAGGAAGGCATACTACGTCGGGGACGATGAAATAGGTACTATGAGTGTGGCAGGTACTATGAGTGTGGCGGACATGTATAAGTATTTAGGAATACTTATCGGGGCCGGAGGCAAACGCCTATCCTATGGTTCCTTGTTTGAGGACTGCCTGACGAACATCACTAAGGCGCCACTCAAACCCCATCAGAGGGTATACCTACTAAAACACCACCTAATCCCCAAGATGAACCACCGGCTTGTTCTCGGACGCGTGTTTAAGACGGAATTAGCAAGGCTTGACCGGCAGCTGTGGCTGCCTCATGATACTCCTAATGTCTATTTTCATGCCAACGTGAAGGACGGTGGACTAGGAATTCCCGACTTGGCTACATCAATCTGTTTACAGACGAACAAGCGGCTCGGGGCGTTGGTAGAGTCGGAGGATCCAGTGGTAGTGGCAGTGGCTCTCCTACCCGTATTCCAAGCGTGAATGCGTCGATGGGTAGACACAATCCCAGGATCACTGTGCACATGGCGCATAAGGGTTAATATAGTCTTGCTTAGGTGAACCGCAGCCAGGATAGCTGCTAGCCAACTATCTAAGCAGAGTCGTTATCTGGAGTACCACTTCTCCAAATGGTTTCTCACAAGAGGGTGGATGACCTGGCCGGAGCCCACGAGTGGGTAAGGTGGTGGCCGGAGGGACCCCAATGCACATACATGATATCCCTCCCGCTCCGGGGCCTTGTTAGGAGCTTCCACCATGAATAGTTTTTTCCATGTATGCCGATGTCAAGTCACCAATCCTACTGCTTAGGCAGCTTGTTGTTTTGCCTTCAGCTTTAGTTCTTTTTAATGATATACTGTGCACTGTATACTGTATACCCTTTGTGTGCTGTGTCCCATATAAGAAAAATGAAATACAAAAGAATTTTCCATTTTGTGTATGTTATTATATGTTATTATTCTGTGTTATTATTATCATCTTAACTCTTGTGGGTTGTGATGAGATCTGCCATTTATGTGAGTTTTAGTTTGTGTTTGATAGGGTATTAGGTATGCTTAGGGGTGCCTTCTCGCCATGCCCTGTGGCTGGGGGGATTGGTGCCCTGAAGCTCCATAAACACCCTATACCCCCCCTCCCCCCTGAAGTGGCAAGGGGAGTTACAGGTCAACAATAATAGATATCTCTCCCTCCCCTTTTCCCTTGAGGTTAGCTGAAGTTTATCATTATTGATTTATTGTTAGGAGATCACCAGCATTAACATATATGCAGCGATACCAATATATGTGTATTTATTTCATATACGAACTATTAGCGATTATTGCGGAAGGACAGTATCCACTCTGAGTTTTGCTGAAGAGTGAACCAATTTGGTTAATGTGCCGGCGAGAGGACACAAGTATCAGCGTGACTGTTAGCCAGGATGTTTGGACTGTATCAGCTGATGGCGTTGCCAGAGGTGACTTACTAGACTGTTGCCATCGTCTACCAGTGTAGCGGGTAGTATCACCTGTGATCCCGTGTAGTGATGTACTCAGTAAATTCACTTATATTTTACCTGTGTGTATGTTATCTCCTCCATCTCTTGAATAATTAGTAGAGCAATTGAATTGTTACACATCACACATCCTGTCAGAGTATTCTGGGCTAGAAACTATTGATGAGTCCCAGTATATGAGTGGCTGAAAACTGACGTAATTTGAAAATAAACAAAATTGAAAATAAATTTTGGGATTTTTTTTTCCAGAACAGTAAGTTAAGTTTCCTCTGGTAGATTAGGAGGGCAGGACATTCTCCTAAAGTTTCAAAACGTCATGAAAAATGTTAATTGAAAGTATCCTCTCCTAACCTAACAGACTAAGCCGGAGAACCTTAACAGAAAACGGGACAGTACATCACTTTCGTGAGTCGATTTCATTTCAAATTACGTCAGTTTTTGACCATTGCGCGCATACCAACGAAAAGTGACGTTATTTTGAGAGGCCGGGTTGGAGAGGAAGGGCCGAGCTGACCTCACTCGCTGCCATGGTTACAAGGCCGAGTTGCAGGAAGGTACTCCAACCCCCGAGCGCTGTCCACTCAGCCACAAAGCCCGGTGTGTGTGTGTTTGTCTGTATGTGTATGTATGTGTGTGTGTGTGTGTGTGTACTCACCTAGTTGTGCTTGCAGGGGTTGAGCTCTGGCTCTTTGGTCCCACCTTTCAAATGTCAATCAACTGTGTGTGTGTGCATGTGTGTTTTATTCTACTAATCCTCCTGTTTAGAGAGTCCTTTTTGTAGCTGTGTGCACCATAGTACAAACATTGACGTACCGATCAATTAGATAGTCGAACTTTGAACTATTCACTTTGTAGAGTCTGATAAAAATGAAGCTAAAAACAAATATAAATATCCCTAGGCCTAGTATAGTACACATGTGTACTATATCAGGCCTCAGGTAGCGTGTATTAGGCCTAGGAAGGTTAGGTTAGGTTAGTTTGTCTTCGCAACAAAAGTAGAAAATAGTTTTCCGGTTTGTCCAAATTTAATAGTACCGATTTCTACTTTCTAATTGCGTTGTGCGTCGGTATGTGTACTATGGTGCTCATCCTTCCTATAAGTACTGCCAAAACAGGAGGATGGGCTGGTAATATCATATATGAAGCTTGTTTAAAAACACAAAATTCTGTTATTTTCCTAAATTAGCTAATGTTTCTGCCTTTGTTGTCATACTGTATCACCATTTTGCTCTCTCCCTCTCTCTTCCTACCCCCTTCCCCCCTCCAACCACTTGGGCTGGACGGTAAGCGACGGTCTCGCTTCCTGCAGGTCGGCGTTCAATCCCTCACCGTCCAAGTGGTTGGGCACCATTCCTTTCCCCACGTCCCATCCCTAATCCTTATCTTGACCCCTTCCTAGTGCTATATAGTCGTAATGGCTTGGCGCTTTCTCCTGATAGCTTAGCTTCCTACCCCCCCTCCCTAGTTCGGTAATTCCGGAGCACACAACTGCTAATTACACACCAGTTAAGACCATAGTTTACGTTAGAGTATACCCTCAATAGGCTCGAACCCTGGTCATATTTTATACACCGAAGAAGCCTTTATACCCACCATCATATTTGGATGTGATTGATCACTCCGGAAGTCATGAAGCATTCAAGTGTCCATTTACGAAACCTGTGCATCTTTCGTCAATCATGGTGACTTTGTTTACATTTGACAAACACTATACGAGCTGGGAAACGTTAAGGCGAGGTTGTCATTGTATTAAACAACGTCGTAGGGCTTCCCAGCTCGTCAACTGTTTTAATAAAAAGTTAACTAAGATGCGATGCTTGAGGAAAGATGTAAAGGCTTCGTCAGTGAGCCCGATACTGGCAGGGGTGATGGTAAATAGTTAATGGCGTCGTTTTAATATTTTATGGTTAGGATGCGGCTGTGGTTTTGGTGTTGAGGTGATAACGTTTGTCTCTAAAGGTTGTTAGTGTAATAGTTGTGTTGTTAGTGTTATTCAGCCTTTGTTGAGTTTGTAGACCAGCTGTCTGTTGATCTGTCTGCCTGTCTGCCTGTCTGTCTGTCTGCCTGTCTGACTGTCTGCCTGTCTGACTGTCTGTCTGCCTGTCTGACTGTCTGTCTGCCTGTCTGACTGTCTGTCTGCCTGTCTGTCTGTCTGTCTGTCTGCCTGTCTGCCTGTCTGACTGCCTGTCTGTCTGCCTGTCTGACTGTCTGTCTGACTGTCTGTCTGCCTGTCTGCCTGACTGACTGTTTATCTGCCTGTCAGCCACCAGCCTGTGTGGTTAACTGTCCATGGTTTCAAACGCCATTATAAGGCGCCAACCCAACAACCTTCACCCCAGTACAACATGGTAGTGTGTCCCTTCCCCCGCAGGTGTGTGTGACTGGGGCGTGGCGTCAGCGTCGGCGTCGGAAGCAACGCCAGCCGACGCTGTCGACGACGACGCCGACAGCAGCAGCAGCAGCTTGAGGAAGAGGGAGCTGGTGGTGGGTCCCAGGGAGGAGGAGGCCGAGATGATCACGCCGGAGGAACAGAACAACACGGAGGTGGTGGCCCAGCTTGGCGGCACGGCCACTATCAAGTGTTACACTCACTTCCTTGGTGATGAGATGGTGAGTGTTGGCTGTGTCTCTCTGTGTGTGTGTGTCTCTGTGTCTCTGTGTGTGTGTGTGTCTCTGTGTCTCTGTGTCTCTGTCTCTGTGTCTCTGTGTCTCTGTGTCTCTGTGTCTCTGTGTCTGTGTCTCTGTGTCTCTGTGTCTCTGTCTCTGTGTCTATGTGTCTCTGTGTGTGTGTGTGTCTGTCTGTGTCTCTCTCTCTCTCTCTCTCTCTCTCTCCTCTCCCCTCTCTCTCTCTCTCTCTCTCTCTCTCTCTCTCTCTCTCTCTCTCTCTCCAGTTCTCTCTCTCTCTCTTTTAACTAAGACTAGGGATTATAAGGGCTGTCAGATGACGGGCCTAGTGAAACTGCAAGCTAGAGCTGTTATCCTACCTCAGCTTATCTGAAGCCTGCGCCTTGAAATTCTTTTATTTCACGAGAATGTACTTTGAGACTATCACATAGGGAACTATCATATATGGAACTCCTCTCTCTCTCTCTCTCTCTCTCTCTCTCTCTCTCTCTCTCTCTCTCTCTCTCTCTCTCTCTCTCTCCCCAGGATGCAGAGCGTGGCGCAGGTGCTGGGTATATACAAGATGAATATTCAGGCGAGGCTCACAGGCGCCTCAGTGTAAAGCGAAAATCAGAATTACCAAATAACTCGCTTTCTAAAACAGACGAGAGGTTGAACGCGCTCTCAGAAGTAACTGACAACGGACAAAAAATATTTGAATTTGAATTGTTTTAACGGAAAAAGATAGAAGTTTTACTCTTTAAAAAAACATCATAAACAGATTAATTTTTATTAGCTAAAATTTAATTTATAATTAGATATAAGAGAAGGATTGACGAAGAAAATAAAAGATCCATAGGGAAAATGCAGGAATAAAAAGCCATTTTCCTTGAGGCGATGGTGCCGCGTTTCGTGGTGGTTCCCCGCGGAGGGCTTAGCCTCGGACCAGGACCCGGAGCCAGAGGATCACAGTGCCGGGATCAGGTCTCTCCACCTTCCCCCTCAGGTCAGGCGCCCCTACATGCTCTTCATCTCTCTTCACTCCTCTTTGACTTTTACATTTCAAGTTAGTGTATGGAAGGGATGATGTGGCAACCCTGCAGGTGGATTTAAGGATGGCTTATAGGTTTGTAATGATGCGCGCACGCGCACACGCACACACACACACACACACACACACACACACACACACACACACACACACACACACACACACACACACACACACACACACACACCACCACCGGTTAAGGGGCCGGTGGCTGACTGGACAGCACGCTGGACGCGTGATCCTGTGGTCCCAGTATCTTGGGTGACCTTACCTATGCGGTCATATTCAACAACATATGTTTACTAGAAAGACTGCTACCAAAATATACTAATATATATATATATATATATATATATATATATATATATATATATATATATATATAATATATAAATTCAACCCATCCTCCGAATTGACAGTACGATTTTATACTAAGTGTAATAAGTACACTTTCTTACTGTCATAACCAGTGCATAATTGCACTTATGGGGCTGTTACATTTACCCAACTCCCTCCCCCGATTTAATTCTCCTCGTTTTCTGTTAAGCCACTCATAATTTTAGGATGACGTTTTCAATTTCAAGTTGCAATACACAAGTTTTAAATATCAGGAATTTCTTTCTCAGGTTTATTAAACAATATAGATTTATACAAAATTTTAAAATATTCTGAGTTACTTTACAACTTATTGATATATTTTAGTTTTGTTTTATAAAACTGTAATATCAATATAGCTATAGGTTAAGTACTAATTGTAATTAAGAAACAATAAAATTATTATCTTCAAAAACTAAGACGGTTAGGTTAGGTTGTGGTTTTCTATTCAGTTTTCAGGTAAACTCAAATATTCACAATATATTTGACAGTACGATTTAATACTAAGTGAAAAGTACAATTACTAACTGCTATGAATAGTACATAATTGCACTTATTTGTCTCCTACATTAACCACCCCATTTTTGGAGGACGGGCTGGTATATTAGTGGATGGTGTCGCGATGGGCTCCCAGCTGGGTGTCTTGTTTGCAAACTTTTACATGGGAACTATTGAGCAGAGTTCTGGTCGGGTTAGACCTAAAACCCGCCATCTACTGCAGGTATGTCGACGACATAGTTGTACAAGTCCCGGTTATCGAACGACTGTTGCAGTTGAAGGAAGCTTTCGAGCAAAACTCAGTTTTAAACTTCACCTATGAGACGGAGAGTGAGGGTAAGCTGCCCCTTCTTAGATGTAGCAGTCATGGAAAGGAACGGCAGCTTTCTTTATGCAGTATACACTAAGGAGACACATATAGGGATGTGCCTTATCGCTGACAGCGACGGCCCGGAGAGATACAAACGGAGTGTTGTGAACGCTTATGTTGACCAAGCTCTTACTCACAGCTCTGGGTGGAAGCAGGTGGATGAGGAGTTGTGTTATGTTGAATAAAGCAGTTTTTGGTCAACAATAGTTTCTCCAATGGTTATGTTGAAGACATAATATAAATTCAGGTGGCGAGGTGTGCAACAGGTGAGGCAACAACTAACACCACAGTACCCGCACTTCCAGTAAAATTGTTCTACAGAAACGTCTTCACCAAATCACTGACCCCCAGTAGCAATGGCTAAAATGATAGCATTTGGGACTTTAATACATTTTGCCCCGGAGTATACTAAACTAATCCTAGAACAACAAAATTTAGGATCTCAACACGAAATTGGGCAAGTGTTTGAGGCCATAAATAATGAGGCAGACAAGATGGCTTCCCGAAGTGCCCAACTGTTGCCGCCCTCTGACACTGTGAATGTAGTAACAAGCTCTCAGCATCCTCCCACAAACTCTCAAAATTCTTGGTCGCAGAATCGCACCCATCTTGAGGTTATCTTGAGATGATTTCGGGGCTTTAGTGTCCCCGCGGCCCGGTCCTCGACCAGGCCTCCACCCCCAGGAAGCAGCCCGTGACAGCTGACTAACTCCCAGGTACCTATTTACTGCTAGGTAACAGGGGCATTTAGGGTGAAAGAAACTTTGCCCATTTGTTTCTGCCTCGTGCGGGAATCGAACCCGCGCCACAGAATTACGAGTCCTGCGCGCTATCCACCAGGCTACGAGGCCCCGAGTCTACGGCCCCATGGCCGTAGTCCGCAGTCACATTCTCCTCCTCATAACTTGCCGAGGTCCTACCGTGCCCAGGTCCTGTGAGACACTGAGGCCTGCCTCAAGAGCCGCGAGTGTCGGCTCTGTGGAACATGACGTCAGAGGCCTACTCCCCTGTGATTGGCTATAACCCAACCGTCATATAATTTGAATACTAACAAATGCACACTGCATTCAGGGTTCCTGCCCGCCATCTGAGGAGCTGGAGGAACTCGACAACTTACGATAATCATCTTTGTACCCTATATGTAACTCCTTTTTTGTAACAAAGTTTAATTAAAACGAATATATATGTGTACATACAAAAGAATGGAGGTGGTAGAAGAAAATTAATTAAAGTGTTCAGTGAGTATCCACAAGTTCTTCTCAGAATACTCTTTATTTTGTTCTCCGAGGCTATAGGTCCCTATACTATATATA